ATATATATATATATATATATATATACCACATGGATCCATCTACCATCTTGCAGTGTGCAAAGGTAGAGCCAAGATAGATAGTATGAGCACTTTCCATCATCCTGAATCAAAGCAGATTTTGGGTAAGTATACCCAGGGAAGAAACACCATCCACCTGGTGGGATTCTATGAAATGATAGAGGAGGTCTGAAAGAGTAACAGTTTTTATTCTTCTCAATGATGGTGGGGAGATTGAAGAATGGTGACCTGGGGAAGCCAAAAACCATCAGGAGTTAAAACATCCAGAAGGTGTAGAGGAGGAGATGAATATGGGGGAGTATATGTACATGCCCACCTGGAGGAACTCGTCATAGGGCTGGTGATGAAGAGATGTAAGAGAATGAAAAAGGAGATGAGTCAAATGCAAAGAAATATGAAATAGTCTGTGAGCATCCACTTCCTGATACAAACATACGAAGAGAATGGGTCAATGGACCCATCTAGTAAGGGTAGAAGGAGAGAATAGGGACAGACGAAGAAAGGGACCATGTTACATTCAATGCAAAATTAGAACAAAATATTTTTGTTCTAATGGATGTGTTGAGCCACCTCTTTCTTAATATACTACAGTTGTAAGTAAAACTTCTAAATTATTAGTCAGAAATCAGAGGCAAGTTTGAATGAAACTTGAAAGACATTTCTATGAGGAATGCTCAGAAATAAACAAGATTTTCATTCCCATACACTTAAAATGAATAAACTAATTAAATGATGACAGATAGTTGTGTTAGTAAGTCAATATCCATCTACATTTCCAAGATCATTTGTTTGTATTTGTTCACTTTGATCTGATATAGCTGACTTACAGGAAATAAAATGTGTTCAATCAGAACAACTTCTCAGACTAGTCCTTATTAAGTATCGTGCATTTTCTCTCTTGCCTTATGAGTTTCATCTTAGCAGTTCAATGAAATGTAGGTGGGATGTTTTGGATCCATTTCTGCCCAGCTGCTTTAAGAATATCTGTTACTTAGAAATGTTACCATCTGGGCACACACTATAAGGTGGGTAGTATGCACAAACCAGGGCACATTGTAATTCTTATAGAACCTTTGAAGATCTTGACAGTAGCATGGATGGGAGCTATACTAACAATTTAGGTTGAGCTTGTATAGTAATACCTTAACATCTTGGTATTTATGTCCAAATATCATTATGGGGGCTGGAATGCTAACTACAAGGACAGTTTTTACTGTCTCCCCCACTGATGTATGTATTCCAATTTTCTTTCTTCTTAAATTTATTTCTTTATTTTTTTTTGAGCAGCCACCTTCCCACATCTGACTGCAGACAGCAAAAGGTGGTAAAGATGTTTGACGTTATGGGCTAAAGCACCCGCATCTGCTCTTTTTATTTATCTATTTTAATTTTATTATTATTAAGAATGTGAGGCCTGCGAAACTGAGGTTAAACTGGATAGATGGTGTACCTCCAATGCAATTTGGGTCTTACTTCCACCAGTTCCTCAAAAACCAGGGCACATTGCATAACTACCCAGCTTATGGTGTGTGCCCAGATGGTATATGTCTATTTTGTAGCTGCATTGTTTCTATTTTCCTTTTTGTTTTCATTTTCTATGATATATTCCAATTATATTTACATACATATATATATGTCTTTTAAGATCTATTTCACATAATTTATGGACATAAGATAAATTTTATTACTCTACAAACTGTCTGATTTAAAACAAAACACTCAATATTACCAGCATTAAAATGACAGGTGAAACATATATAATTAAAACTGAAACAAAATATTTCTAAAAAAGCAGTAAAATTCAATCCTAATTAAATCCAATAAACAATAAATCAATACCAAATCAAACAAATTTAAATGAAACAAAAGAAAAAACTAGATTAATAAAACATTAGTACAACAAATAAGCTATACAGTTAGTATGAAAAAAACACTAATCTTTATAACTGTCAGCCATCATCAAATGTAATGTTGAGAAAATATTAGTAGTAAACTTTTGGAAACTAATATGCCACTCAAACAAGAAAGTCTGGGAAATTTACATACATTAAGTACACTATGTGAGAGGTAAAAAACAAAAATGTTTAGACCTAAGACTCTTAAGAACTTTATGACAGACATTGAAAAGTGTGCTTACTGAATTTTGTCTATGCAAAAGAAAGAAAACACTTTTAGTTCTGACTATTAAAATGAGTACTGACATGTCAGTTTTATTAGTAAATGCATCAGCCAAGTGTTACTTAATGATGGCTTCTAAATTTTTCCAATTTCACATATATAAAAACCTCTATAATCATAAAAAAGGTAACAGATAAATAGTATTAAAGATGTGGTATTATTCAAGAGTTACGCTTTCACAACTTTTAAGGTTAAAATTGCAATAAACATAGATTCAATTGGAAGATCAAACCACAAAGCAATAATAAAACAAATACACTATTTAAGGATTAACAAAAGAAACATTTTGTAATTTTTTTTATTTTGAAAAATTAGAAACAATAAGTACCTTGGAGAACCACAGCTACATTTCAACTCTTTGGATTTCTTCTGTCCCAAAAAATGGTTGATCCATTCCCAACATATCTGTTTGTTTGAGAAGTATTTCTTGATAGATGAATTCCTGGCACAAGGGGGAAAGCAAAACATATATAATGATTTTGAAAAGGTAACAGTAAAATTATACTGGAAAGGGTGTTAGGTAAAAACTTTTAAATGAACTTTACATGAAATACAACCCAGAATTTAATTTTGATCTCAAAGCAATATGACAAAATTAACAAAACTTCAGTTATTACTTAATTAAGGAAAATTCAGAATGTGGTAATAACATGCTCCATTTTATTTAATATTATCAGTTATAATGGTTAAACTAATTTTATTATTTTTTGTTATGAATTTTTTACACTTATGAATACTATTTTGAATTTATAGTTGACCAAAACCTAACTGACAAATCAGTAAATTCTTATCATTCAGGTTTGTTTTTCTTATGTACTGATTTCTAGCACCATATTCAAGTCAATTTATTATAAAAATTAATATCATTAGCTTATATTACTTTCTAGTTCTGATCTCTCGTGTGTATATTATTAATTTCTTATCAAAGCAAGCTACCTACATAGATTAGAATTAAAAATTAACCCATTAATTAATACTTTTAACATATTATACTGTTCTATCTAGGAATATGAAAGTTATAAAACAAAATACTATTATTAGAATGCACCTACTCATAAGTTAGGTACCCTCACTGTTAGCAATATTTTTGGTCATATTCCCCATGGATTGAAAAAGTGTACAAAACCATGTAGCTCTCATTATTAGCCAGGAGGATGAAAAAACTCTTGAGTCAACAGAGCACATGATTAGATTCAGAAAGAAGAGACCAATAGAAAGAACTCAAAATTTCCTTATGATAGATAAACCTCCTTTGACAAGATTGGACAAAAGAGATGTAGGACAGGATAAAGCTATTGGGATTGTGGATATGGAAGACCCAGAATAGATATTCTGCTAAGAAGCTGATTTTAGGGAGAAAAGTCCCCAAGGTTATGCAGGAGGAATTAAGTGGAAAGTACAGGATTCATAAGTCTTTAGGTGACTAAGAAGCCAGTAGGAAGATTAGCAACCAATCAACATGATAATGAACTCAAAGTATGCTGAAGATTGGTAGATGCTTTACTGCAAATTATTACATTACACATTTTTCTTCCCATGTGATTATTCATCCAAATTGGTGAGCCAAAATTTTGTGGAGGAAAACGATAATATTTTACAGAAAGTGCATAAAGAACTCTGTTTTGAATGATGAATACCTTATGAATAGTAGCATAAAAGATAAAATAATTTAAACTGAACTCCTTATGTGAGGAAACATCAAAACTATATTAAGAGTAGGAGCAATCTTTTTGATTGATTGAATATTTTGGAGTGGGCTTCTAGTAAGAAGAGTGTGTAAAGAGCATTACCAACCATTTTTGTATGTATAAAAATGCCTGAATCAATCAAAGGTGGCAGACATAATATGATGCCTCTATTATTGAAACTTCTGAATTTGAGTTTGCTTCATTTACACACAGATTCCTTTCATATATCTAACTATAGATGAATTGGAGATATTGATTACATTTGCAGATTTTTTGTTTCTATCTCTTCTTTGGGAGGTGGGAATTCCTTATACATTTGATATTTATCTTTTTTATTTGTCTCATATAATAAAGCAAAGGGATTTTATCCTTTCTCTGGAATGGAGTTTAGAGGGACCTGAAAGCTTCAGATCCTTCCTATTTTTTACAGCATTCTGGAGATAATCAAGAAACTGTTGTTCTTGGTCTCATAGAAAGGCTTATTCCCCTCTTCTTCTGTTCAAGCTTAATCTTCTCCCGTCACTGTTTCTGGACTGCATCCCTTTTTCCAGGGGAAGAGTATTAAGTGATATTTGTGAATTTATGGAGTATTTAGTTTCAGATTGAAAGATTTGAGTTTTTAGAAGAAATTCTGTACCTACTTTCAGATCTCCAACCGTGCCCTTCCACCAATAAATGATCATTAATTATTTGACCTACTTTAGGAGAACCACTTGGAACTTTGTTGAAAAGGACTTTTGCACCTGTATTACGAATGAGTGTGAAACTACACCACATAAAAGCAATAACATATCTATTAACCTTACTAGTTGAGAAGGGATTCTAGAAAGAAGAGTTCATAATTACAACTTATAACAATTATGGACAAATATTTTAGAAGAAAATAAAATTACTCAACTGAAATTCAACACTAGAAATAACATCTATAGAAGAGACAAGAGAGGAATTTTTGATTGAAGATCCTATATAACAGAATTTGGACCACTCAAAATGTAACCAAGAAAAGAATACAACTGAAAATTAGTTGCACTCACCTAGAATTCTTCACAAATATCAGAAAGCATACTCAGTTGTATAGATGTTGGGGGTAACAGAGAAGTAAAGATAAAAGCTCAAAGTTCTGCAAAATGACTTTTATCAAATTCACAAACAGAGAAACAGGTTCAGGCCTATGAAAAACTGTCACAGTATGACAGTACAGCAAAACTTATGAGAGGAACAAGGACAAACAAAGACCATCATAAAGTAAAAGCAAACATGGATTGATAGTGTGATCAATGGTAACAAAAGTGACTTATGTAGCTGATACTTACTAGAAGAGGCCTTGCTCTACAGAAGAGGGTGGAAAAGTTGTGAACTGTAAGACAGCTATAACAACTGACAACTCAAGATAACAAGATATTGGAGAAGGAAAGAGAAAAAAATCAGGTGTACAGTTATTCAATGGAGTGGTTATGTATGTTTAGCTGAAATCATTGTGCAGTATTTGAAATTACGTTTCCTGAAATAGTTGAAATACTTAATAATCCTTACACATTTTACATTTCTTAAAGAACAAAACAAAAAAACACAACAACATCAACCACACACACACACACACTTTTAACTTGTCTCATTGAGATGTACATAAAAACAAGACATAATATCAACAATCATGATCTCGTGCATGCTGTTTAGGACCTTTTTAGCATGACAATGTAAAATTATATTTTATCTTACATATAACCCAATAAAGTTACAAACACATAACCTCAAACAAAATTTGTAAATCACATTAGAAAATAATAATAATAAATAAAAGCCAAGTGTTTGCTATGGGTCCTTCATTTCTGAATGTGACAAAGCTCAACAAAGATGAGCTACAAAGCTTTAAAGTAACGAGGGGAACCAAATGACTGTAAAAATGTTGAAAATCTTGTATTGCATGGTAAATAAGATATACACCATCAAATAAATTGTTTCAAAGGCACCTAAAAAAACAGTTACTTAAATTACTAATTTTTTTACCATCATTCTGTTTCAGCCACATTGATAATTATACAATTTATTATATCTTCAGATAATGCAACTTTATCTCCTATAATAAAACAGATAATTCTGTCACAAAATACATAACCAAATTTTTCATCATTAAGCTTCTTTGGTTAGTTTTTCTGTGACACAAAAAAAGCAGAGTAATGACTGTAAAGTACATAATATTGTGTACTTCAACATTAATACAACTGTAAGCTTACACTTGTTTACCTTTCAGTTTTTATTAGTTTCTTAGAAGTCTACTGAAAAGTAATTTGTAAAGGTTAGAAGTTCATATCAATTTTCCTCAGTTACAGTGTGGGCTCTTCATGTTTTCCGATATTCATTACTTAATCTTAAAGAAGAAACATAGAGCTAGTTACATAGTTCTTTGTTCCTCTTTCAGTTGGATACAATTCATCATATATAAAACCTTCAAAGTCAGTTTTTAGAGCTATTAAGAACAAGTAATTCACGAAATAGTATGATTCTTTGTAACTTTACCTAAGTGAAACTCAAATAATAATTTAATAGTCTAAGATAATAAATGTTCTTGTAGTGGTAAAATAAAGTTCCATTTGTAATAAGTACACAGTATTTTTATTAATTCAGATTTGATAAAGTTCATGAAATGCTCACCAATGTTGGGGTGATAAACTATCAACAAGTTGTTCCATAAATACTAAAAACAAATCAGGATATCTCCCTGTACTTTTGGTTAGGTACAGTACATCCAGAGGTGTGACTTGAGGCAACTTCTTCATACAAATTTCCACTGCTTTGGAAGAATAAATAACAAATATCCTAGGACAACAAAAAATCAGCAATTAAGGAATATAAAGATGTTTTACAAAATTATGTTATATAAACAATTGAATTTTAAATATTTTGTTTTACTGTTACATCATGCCCTACAATTTGAAAAGTTAACATTTTCTCACACTGAAAATATGTTTCTGATAGGCACTTACTTCATATCAACAAAGATATCTCAATCTTCTTTCTGCCCTCTAAGCATTTCTAAAAAATTTTCACACTCAGCACACCAGTCTATAAACCTCATCAATTCTGCACCATTTTTGAACATGTAAATATCATGTGACTACTCTCCACCAATAGTACTGTGCCACCTATATTGGTGCATCTAGCTCCTCACTTTCAAAAATTGACAGGCTCTAAAAGAAGAACACCAGCAGTGGGGAGGAAGGGTAGGAAGTGTGTAAGAAGTAGGTACCTATCAGAAATACATTTTCAGTGTAAGAAAATGTTAACTTCCAATACGGTCTTTCTAGAATGAACGGGTGTGATCTGAGATGAAAACAAAACACACTACTTCTGGAACAGGCATGCTCTTTGCCTTTGAAGTAGGAAATGAATCCAATATGGGTGGAAAAAGGGTGTGTGCAAGTGCAATTTGTTCTGAGAGGTGCCATCCACAGTAAAATATAAACCGAATTACTATGTACATACACAACCTCAATCAGACAGACGAGGTTCCATAACTCATCCTCAGCATTAGGAAGTTGAAGATCAAAAAAGGTTAAATATATTGTAACATAGAAGAATGCGAGAAAAAAGCATTAGGAGAAGTCCACATACAGGCCCATAAAATGTACTCTAGTGAATCAAAGAAATGGGCAGTGAAAGACATAAATATGCTGAGATGTAATTCTCAGAATAATACTTGCCTGTAAAATCCATAATATGCAACCTGGATATTTGCAAGACCACCTCCAAGGAAGTGAGGATAAATCTTTGGAAACCAAAGTATCCTAAAGAATACAATGATGAGAATTATCCCCATGAAAGAAGTTAGAGTGAGCCACATAACACATCTGGGTCTGACAGGAGAAAACAAATGATCAGCGTATGATGGATTGTAGAGGTGAGAAATAGGTGGCAAAAGAATTGTGGAGAGGATGTATCCCCTTCCCTGGTGGCCAGAGATTTAGAAAGAAAGGACCTAAAGGGAGAGATAAAGAGTCCTACAAGCATGTCAACAACTTCAGCTGATGATATCAGCATGTCAGCAACAACAAAATACCCATTAAGGGGAAAAGGCTCAAAAGGTTGTTGAGACAAGGCATGTAGTACCACCTTAATATTTTGATTAAGTAATGGAAATGGCCATTTGGGAAGAAGGACAGATAGCACTGGGGAGTCTAAAACTGTCAGATGTTTAGGATAACTAAAAGGGGATGCAAAAGTTGTCCGACCTAAATGACGGGAGCTTGAGCTAAACCCAAGTAAAAAACAGGTCAAAACAAGATATCATGAACACGTTGGTAAAGTGGGTACAAACTCCTTATGAGGCACTCCCCAGACAACTGTAGATGTTAAACCCCAATGAGCTGAGAAGAGTCTTGGTGTAGAATGTTGGGTTGAGGATGCCTCAATAAAGATAAACAAAGAGTAAGAGGCAGAGGTGGACTCGCATGAAGAAACTGTAGAAGAGGAAATCATGGCTAAGCCAGCCAATCTAGGCTAGCAACATCTTGCCAGTAGGGGATCAAAATATAGCCAAAACTCTGAGTAACAGAGGAAGTGAGGGAAAGTCATAGATGTGCAATCCCATCCAAGCAGGACCAATTGCATCTACCACCCAAGTCAGATGAAAAGGCAGTGGAGACTCCAAAGCTTGTAATTGTGTAGCAATAAGTGGTAAAAGCAAACAAAGAAGGCCCAAAATTAAAACAAAGCTATCGGAAAACTGCACAATGGAGAATTCATTTATTCAGGAGAAAGTGGACAGAGGGGCAGTGAACATTTATACATCCACATAGATATATATACACAGACAGACAGACATGCATATATACATACACACAGACAGACATGCATATATACACCTACACACAGACAGACATGCATATATACACCCACCCACCCACACACACACATACATACATACATACACATATACACCCACACCCACATATATATATATATATATAATTATACACACACATACATACTAATGATAGAATTGATCCAAACCAACCACCACTCATGAAGTAAGATTTTGCTCCTGAAGAAAGAGACTTGAAAATTCAGTGTATTAAAGTTCCAGATCCATTTATTGCGATGAGACCACTGCAAGAATAGCATGTATCCTCCTCCAAAAAAATGAGAGAGATTTGATGGAAGCCCACAACCCCAGACTGCCCATTCCATAGCCTGGAGCTGGATGGGGGGGGGGGGGGGGGCGG